TAGACGTCGTCTATACGAAACTAATTTTGTACAATACGAATAGTTCAAAAAGTTTCCTATTTGTATGGGATGAATTAGTACGCACCCATTTCATACTCTGGACGTCGTCTGTACAAAACTAATTTTGTACAACATGATCAATTAAAAAAATGGTGAGTTTGGGATGAACTGGTACATATCCATTTCGTACTCTGGAAGTCATATGTACAAATCTAACTTTGTTTTGTACGAGCAGTTCAATCAAAAATTTCCAAGACATGATTCGATTAACTTCTTTCTGGATGAACACTCAAGTTAAATCATCCAGTATAATTCCATATTCATACAGTACGATTAGTTTTAAAAATACAAGTTTAATTTTGACTCACTCCCCTAGTGTGTGTGTGCATGGTTACCCAATTACAATCACACATTCTCTCAGACTCAAGAAAAATAAAAAAAAGGTACAGACTTTAATTACAAGAAACCCTAATCTAATCTATCTTGAAGTCTTCGGTAGTCTGAAATATGATTTTCTTGAAAAGTTAGTACACATAAACAACACAAACTTAATTTTTCTAATATGTGTTAGGAGAAATAGTAATCAACACAATAATATTTTGGTATCATCAAAAACTCACATGATATGAAAGCATAGTTTTGAAAATTAAGTTACAATAATATATATAGCACCATAGTATAACTACCCCAGCACCATAGTGCAGCATGTTGAATCTAGAATTACTATAGATAAGAGAATTCAATATCACACATATAACTTTTGGTGCCACTCTCTTGAAGGCCCAATGACGCAACATCACAAGCTCAATGGTGTAGTGCTCTAATTCAAATAAAAGTTAAAATTTTTAATTTTAAAATCATTTTCAAAAAATTGGGTTGTTAAGTCAAGACCTTGATGCGACGACACTGTCAAGCAGATAGGAGGAAAAGAATTGAGCATCGTAGTTTTCCAAACTTGACACTGCGGTACTGCGATTGAGATAGACAAATTTCTTTCACATTTTTAATTAAGGGTTGCGTCTTTTGGTGGTTTTGGAATATTTTCTCTTTATTTGTTCAAAGAGAATGGTGTAATAGAGAATAGAGATAGAGAGTGAGAGAGAAGAGAGATATGTTCAAAGTGAATTTATTGGTGTGGATCCATATTTTTTTTTCTCGATTTTAGTTTTTTTCACGTTAAATCTTCATGCTCCTTCTTTCTACTGTCATTTTTTCTTTCTTGTTTATATATATTTGATGTTTGGTTTACTTCCCCAACAAGTGCATCTATGTTATAGCTTGCTATGAATAATTATAATTTGTTATGAATCTCATGAATTAAATGGAATATTTATATATGAAATTTGGAATAATTATTCTAAATTTAAAAATTTTGTATGATGGCACTACGATGTTGTGTGCTAAAGGAATGTCACATTGTAAGTACTAGGGTAGTACATTGGCATCGAGAGTTGTCACAACAATGCTCAACTCTTTAATTGGAGAAATTATTGAGAGTGTGATGATTTAGTGTCACGATGCTTGGACATAATGGATAAGGTAGGGTTAGATTTAAGTGTTTCTTTCTCTCTAGAGTAATAATGTTGTGATTATCACTGCCACACTAATGGTAGCACTATGGTGTTGGGCATTGTGGAGCAGAATAAGATATTTTGTTTTAGTATAAGTTATCCATGTCCTATTTCATTTCCTATTTGTTGGAAGAGAGTAAGAGAGTGCTCTGTAAAAAAAGGAAGGGAGAGAAGTAGAGAGAGAAGACGGATATTTTAAAGGCTTCGAAGTCGAATTTGACATCAAGGCTATCATAGAAATTGTTCGTCTTGGGGTAGGCAATTAAAAACTTACTTTAGTCTTCAATTTAAGAAAAAGTGATTCTTGGGGTGTTGAATTTTCATTGTATAATTTTTAGTATTTCATAAAATACTTGAATTTGATTTGATTAACAAGAATATTGTAGATTCATCGAGTATGTTAAATTCAATAATATTTTGTTCATATATGATAATTTGGTGAATATTTTGATGTAATAAGAATTATACTTTACAATGATACTAAAACTTATACTTTCTGGTGATTTCGTAAATTATGACTATTTATGACAATGATCATGTTCAATAATTTAGTATATTTGAAACATGAATCTTTAAGCAAGTTATTTTCAGTATTATCTCATGGAAATGCCACTACCTTAATAACTAGCAAATATTGCTTAGTGCTTTCCATATAAAGTTGCAAGTATTGCTACTTCATGCTCTACATATAAATTATTCTTACACGTTCATATTATTACTTGTCTATAGCATGGTGAAAAGGAGGTTGGAGGGGAATCGAAAGTGGTATATATAAGATGTGTGGCAATGTGAAACTGTTGTCCTCTATTTTTCCTTGTGATAGGTGAGAGATGAATGTGATGTTATAAGAAGGTTTTCCATCCATCTATATATATAGCAGATGAGAGAGGAATGTGAGATTATTTTCCTCCATTTGTCCTTGTGATAGATGAGAGATGAATGTGGAGTTATAAGCAGGCTTATCCTCTATTTGTAAGGATGACACATGAGAGATGAATGTGAAGTTATAAATAGGCATGTGGAGGAAGAAGAAGAAATTGAGAGAAATTGGCTTGCATACATGCATTGCATAAAATCATGCTATATGAATCATTCAAAGCATGTTATGTGAACCATATTGATAAATGTACAAGCTTCAATTTGAGTTAAGTAATAATGGTATTATAAGAGATGCTACAGCAAAATGAAACATAATATAAAATGTGAAACTGACATGACAGAATAATAAGAAAGCTATAATGTTAGAAATGCTTTTTTGTAAGTCACTTTAAGTAAATGGATGCCATATTTATATGATTTATATGTTCACTAATATATTTATATATGCAACGTCTCTTTTTCATATATGATAAGTTTTGAAGCAAATTGTTATTGAATATAAATTGAATGCTTTAGTGAGTTTTTAGTTGTCTGCGGAATAATGTAAAGGAAAGAGTTTTTTGGGTAGATTCATATAAAATATAAAAGTCCTCTCAATTTGTAAATTTTATGTTCTAGCTTGGTTAATACAATAATAGATATTATATCTTGGATGTGAAATGTTAAAAGAATTTTGTAATATCATGATTGTAATATAAACTTTTTTGCATGTAATAAAATAAGATGTTATTCCAATTTCTGTTGTTTAGTGGCTCTCTATGTAATGAATTTTTTAGGTTCTAATATCAATACATCCAACTTGATTCTAGGACATCACAATTATAACACAAAGAATGCAATTTACAAGACATATTACAACATATATTAATTGAGAAATTGATAAAAACCGCCCCTATTAAATTGTATGTGATCATGTGTAGCTTCCGAAAGATATTGCAGTTGTGCTCATTTGACATAGCATTTTAGAAATTAATTTATAGTCGCATTGAAACTAAATTCTTACTATAAACTAAGAACAACATACATATGAGATAGTAAATGTGCAAACTCTTCAAGAACATCCAAATTCAAACCCTTCTCACTGAATAATATTGCTTGAATAATGTTCAAATCTTTTCGAAACCTTACTCAAACTTTATTCGAACCTCATTTTCCATATGGTCGAAACTTTTTCGAACTATAATTGAATTTTATTTGAACCTTGATAAAACCTTATTCAAATCATGACTGAAAGTTACTTGAAACTACTTCGAATAGGATTTTTACCCTGATCGAACTTACTTGAAAATAACAATTAGTTTCAAACCATATTCAAATAAGGTTCGAATCAGATATAAATAAGATTTGATTATGATTTGAATAATATTTGATTGATTTGCATTCCAAGCAGGTTATATGATAGCTCACATCATTCTTTATATATATATTAGAGTGCATATGATATTTTTAAATATAAATAATCAAACACATAACATTACTGACCTCGAACAACTAGGCATGAAGATGGAAACTTTTGAAATTTTGTCACGCTGGAAAGAAGAAGGGTTGATCGACTTCTGCTCAAAAGCTCACATGATTGCTTGCTCAAGCATCCCTTTAAATTCTATGTCTAAATACCAAGCATAATTTAATTTGAAATGAACATACTTTCTTAAAAAATTATGCAACGCACACATTTAACTAATTTTGAATATTAAGAGACATATAAAGTCCAATTTCGCTGAGAAAATTTATTGAAATTGTTTTATAATTGCAAAAATTTATGTAAAGAACTAAGATGACCTGACTTAAAAAATAGTCAGGATATAATCTAAAGGGTATAGATTTTATTTTATTTTTTTTGAGATTAAGAATTCATTTGGAAGCTTTTTTTATTATTTTTTAAAATAATTTGTAGTAAAAAAGTTTAAATTCTTGTATAAAAATTTGTTTAAAAAAATATAGTGATAGATGAGCCCTCAGACAAGTCAACTTTGATGAGTCATCGGAGATCCTTTCGATGTCCCCTCTTTAGAGATTGTGATTTTATTCTGTAAGGAAGCCGAATGTCGTCCGGAACCAAAATGTGCGACGTCACCTCCTGCTCAGTACACGGCCCGGTACTGCTCGGTATCGCGGCTCGGTACCTGGCTCGGTACTGCTGACGTGACACATTCTGATTGATCTCCGGACGTTAAACTGTGTTTGACATCCACACAAAATAATCTCTATTAGACTTCGTTTGTTTCTTCCTCTCATTTTGTAAAAGGTAATTTTAAAAATAATGATTGTGAAAATGAAATTTTCTGACACGAAAGCAAATATTAAAATGCTTCTCAAAACAGCATTAAAATGAAATTCCCTAAATAATTTTTCTATATAAGCATCTTTTTACACAACTCCTTGACCTATTGGTTGAGAGCTTTGGCTTCCAACTAAGAGGTTCAGGGTTCAAGTCTATATATGCGTTGTGTGTATGAATTTGACTTAAATGACCTAAATGTCCAAAAAAAATATAAGCGTCTTTTTTTCGTTTATAAACAGAAGAAAGAAAAAAATGCTGAAAGAAACAAGACCTTCGAGATTAGCCCGTAGGCGATCCGGCTTACAGGGGTAGGACTAAGAAAGAGTCTCAAAGAAAGCCTAATACGCTGGTAGAATTTTTTGTTTTTTTTCAATAAACATCTCAAGTCCCATCACTTCAAACTCTCCGGTTTCAGGTGTGGGTCGCCGCTCGCAATTAGAGCGTTAATGACGGACAGATACGCGGGATGGGAAGTTCACAGCATGGCGCTTTTAAAATTAACATGCACATATATACTTTCAAATTGATTAATACTTTAATTTGTCCTCTGCGAAGCTTCTTAAGTTCTCGTTGTGACAACAAAGCTAACGACTAGTCGAGAGAGAGAGAGAGAGAGAGAGATGGCCGGAGGAGGAGGAGGAGCGGAGGAGGAGATAAAGCTCGAATACACGCCCACATGGATCGTTGCCTTGGTTTGCACCGTTATTATTTGCATCTCCCTATTCTTCGAACGATTCCTCCATCGGCTCGGCAAGGTGAGTTCTATTCCTCGATTGACCCATCGCTGTTTCTCCGATCTTCTTTTCTCCTTTCTGAAGCCGTTTATGCACAAATATCATCTTAACAGCGGTTCATGCGGAAAAACCAGAAACCCCTATTCGAAGCCCTTCAGAAGATGAAAGAAGGTAGGCATTGCAGCTCTTATTATATTTCCTTGTCTATCTTTGAATTGTATGGTGCTAAGATTCAAGGGAATCGGGTACAGAGCTGATGCTGATGGGATTCATCTCGCTGCTGCTGGTGGTTTTCCAGGGGACGATTCAGAAGATCTGCATTCCGGCTAGCTACACCCGACACCTGCGGCCCTGCAAAGGCGAAGACATAGCCGGCGATGGGGGCGGTGATGACGGTGAAGTCTCCGCCCACCATCGCTCCAAATTCTACGCCGGAGTCCTCGCCGGCGGCCGCCGGCTATTGGCTGGCGGAGGATCCGGCGGAGAGCACTGCGCAAGAGAGGCAAGTTTGCTGCAATTTTCTGTATTTTTTCTCTTGTTTTCATTTTCCCCGTTTTTCTTTTTGTTTTTTGCGGTAACCAAAATTTCAAAAGCAGATGCCTGCACATGTGCACAGGTGGAAATCATAACGTGCGTATTATATGTATATAATTTAAGTGTTTATTAAATGTGTGTCTAATTATGTATTTGTAAAAATATTTATAGAAATATGCATCATTCTACGCACCATGGGAGAAATTAAGGGGACATGTAGCGGCACCTTCTCATCACAACGGACAGTCTTCACCCCGATTAAAGAAAAAATCGGAGCTTGTGAGGATTGGGTCTTTACCGGTGATTTGCAGTTTTAAACTCCTACAGGACAATCTTTGCTTCTATTACAGAGAAAAATCGGAGCCTAGGTTAGAGGACCAGGTCTTTATTGACAATTGATGGTCTTTAAACTCCTACATGACAATCTTTCCTCGTATTACGGAGGAAAACCGGAGCTTCCATTAGCGGATCAGCCTTTATCGGTGATAGGTCTTTTAACTTTTACATGACAGTCTTCTCCCCTATTATGGAGAAAAATTGGAGCATACGTTAGAGGACTTGACCTTTACCACAATTGATGATCTTAAAACTTATACAGGACATTCTTCGCCTTTATTACAGGGGAAAATTGGAGCCTGTGTTAGAGAACCTGGCCTCTAACGGTGATTGACTGTCTTTAGTCTCCTACAAGACAATCTTCACCCCTTTTATAGAGGAAATCGGAGCCTACGTTAGAGGATCGAGTTTTGTCGATGTTGATGACCTCCAAATTTTGTCAGTCCATTTTTCTCTCAATTTATGGGACAAACTGTGTCACAATCCAACCTGACAAGACCCACTGATGGGACAAGTCTTATCGTTTTGAGCTGTAACAGGTGAATCCAAATATCTAGTTTTGAAAAATTTTCAGATTTCATCTTCCAATTTAAACTTTTAAAACACACAACAGACTATAAAGTTACTAAAACATCCACATGACTGAATATAAACTTATCCAGAAAATTTACTTTTCTTTTATTATCAAAATGACATATACAATCACATAACATTGCTATAAACAAAAGCTCTAGAACAGAGTAATCAAACTAGCCTTGACTGTGCAAAAATCAAAAGAAGAAATACCTACTGACTCAAACTAGATTCCTAAAACTGTTACTCAATCGGATCATTTTCTTTCCCAAACCCTTAAAACATATTGCTAAATTATAGTGAGCTAAAACAGTTTAACAGACCATTTTTAACCGATCTAAAATTTTAAATTATTTTATTTATTAAACATTCCTTGAGTATTAAAAGCAGAACTGTGTAAAGAATTAAATGTAGTTATCAGAATTTTAGACAAAATATACAAGCACTTCATATTTCCCCCCCAACAGATAGAGTTCAATAACTCTGAACTTTATGCTTCCCAACTGATAGAGTTCAATATCTATGAGTGATAAAAGAGTTTAACAACTCTGGATAACAAACATAGTTCAATAACTTTGAGTAACAGATGGACTTCAATAACTCTAAAGAAGAATGTAAATATATCATCCGAACAGAACTTCTTCCACCCCTTTTAGATTTTCACAGAATCACCCATTTCAATTAATTAAGCAGATATTTTAGTGAATAACACAAAATGATATATAAAAAATATATTTCAAAATTTGTTAAAATGTCATAATGATAGGTAACATAAAACCCTATTAAGTAAAAATACACATTTTTAGAAAATAACTAAATTATTAAAGATTATGCAAAACACTGTTTTAAATCTTTAATTTTACAATAATATTATTTTTCAAAGTCTAGATTATTTTATATTAAATAAAAATTGTATAAATTCCAAAACCCTTAGTATAAAATTTTCAAAAAATATTCAAATTGTTCCAAATTCAATCTCTATAATATATAAAAAGTTATGCGGTGATAGTTTTATCAATACAAAATTATGTCTGCTTTTTGTAACTAAAATAAAAATTTAATCATTAAATTTAGAGAAATTTCGTATTTTTTAAAACTGAGATCAACATAATATGACTTACTTTGAGACAAATAAATTTTTCAGTTGTTACCTGATAAAAATGACTTTACGACCTCCAAAACCTAAGTTTTTTCTCCCTGTCTTTTTCTTTCATTTTCCAATTCCTGCTCTTTGGCTTGAGAAACTATAGAAAAAAGAAAGGGATTTTGATGAGTTAGGTATAGTGGAAATATATTTTATAATAAAATAATCAAAGGATATATTGGTTTTTATTCTACTTATTTAGTTTTTAGTGTAAAATTCATATAAATTCTTTTCTATATTAAAAAATGGAGATTCATAAATTATGAAAAAATATTCATAAATTAGCTAAGCATGCATAGAATGATCACATAAAATCAGTTTATAAAACAAACACCTAAAGCTTCCAAAAACACCAATTCTTTTGGCGTTGGTTAATTTTTTAAGGAATTGTAGGAATGTCCAAAATTTATGAAAAAATATTATAATTAGATCACAACTAAATCTTTGTTATAATGAAATCAGTCTGCAATTTAGACTTATAATGACTCCTAAAATAATATTTAGTTGTTGTAAGTCAAAACATTAAGGGTTATTACAATCTCCCAATCTTAAAAAATTATCGTTCTCGATATTTTCAAACTAAAATAAGTCATAATAACTTGGATATAGATGTCTCATCTCAGACTCCTCCAAAGTAGTTTCTCTTTCATTTCTTTTCTTCCATTGGACTTTAACCATTAGAATCTGTTTATTTCTTATCCTTCTGACATCACAAGCTAAGATCCTCTCTGGTTCTTCTCTATAATTCAAATTTCGACGTACCTCCATATCTTTTATAGATATACGCTCTTCAGAATCAGATATTCATTTACTGTGAAGAGAGACATGAAATGCATTTTGAATTTCAAACATGTAATTTGACAACTAATTAGTAGACAAATTTTTCAATTCTTTCAATAACTTTAAATGGTCCAATGCATCTTGGACTAAATTTTTTTCTCTGCCAAACATGGCAATGCCTTTCATCTTTCTTATCTTTACATTACAAATCTTCCACTTGAAACTCTACAGCCTAATGCTTAGCATCAAAATGCTGTCTTTGTTTGTCGTAGACAGGTTTCAATTTGTCTCTGATCAGACAAATCTTTTTAAAAGCATCATTTACCAAAGTTGACCCAATTAGATTGTTTTCATCATCTTTTATCAAAGATAATGGTGTCCGACATTTTCTATTATATAGATCTTCATAAGGGGCCATATTTATACTTGACTGAAAGATGTTATTATATACAAATTCAATCAATGGTATGTGGTCTTCCCAACTACCAACAAAATTCAAAAACAAAATCGCAAAAGATCTTCTAGGAGCGATATAATCCTCCTAGACTGTCCATTAGTCGAGGATGAAATGTCATACTGAAATATCGTTTTGTACTCAAATTTTATTGAATATCCTTCCACAGTCAATAGGTAACAATGTCATCTCTATCAGAAATCATAACCCCATGTAATTTGATAATCCTACACACATATGCCTGTGTCAATTTGTCGGTTGATTCTAATTATTGGATCATAATGAAATGAGCTAATTTTGTAGATGATCAAATATAATCCAAACGACATCATGTGTCTGTTTCCACTTTCCACCTACAAAAATCCATAGCAAAATCTATAGTCTCTTCTTCCCATTTCACTCTGGAATTAGCAATAGTTGTAGAAAGCCTCCCGGTCATTGATGTTTTGCCTTTACTAACTGACAAACTTCACATTTTGATACAAAATCTGCTACATCATTTTTCAATCCAGGCCAAAAAAATATTTCTTTCAGATCAGTATATATTTTGCTTTATCTTGGGTGAATATTATAGTCTAAATAACGAGTCTTATACAAAATCTCCCATCTCAGATATACAAATATAGGAATTCATAATATGTTATTATAGAATATAATATCAGAATCAAACACTCGTAGTTCTAATTCTTTCCAGATATGATCTGATTAATCATTTTGGATATTCTACATCTAACTTCTAAATTTTTTGAATATTTTCTTGCAAAAATGACTGAATAATCATCCAGTCAATATACCAGAATCAAGGTTAACAAGAGAAATCATCCCTAACTAAATCTTTTTCATATTCCATATCAGATACTCTTTAGAAGTAAGCTGAATACAAAATAATCCAGAAGATTTCTTACTCAAAGCATCTGCCACCACATCAGTCTTTCCAGGTAGATACTGAATAGTTAAATCATAGTCTTTAATCCATTTGCCTCAAATTCAAATCTTTTTAAGTAAATATATATTTCAGACTCTAGTAATTAGTATAAATCTCATACATGACATCGTACAGATGGGGTATCTAGATCTTCAGAGCAAACGCCACAATAACAAGTTCCAGATCATATGTCAAGTAATTTTTCTCTTGTGGCTTCAGCTATCTAGAAGCATTTGCAATAAATCTATCATGTAGCATTAGAGCACTTCCCAAACCTTTTAATAAAGCATCATTAAACACCTAAAATCCTTCGGTACCACATAAAAGGGTCAAAATTGAAGTAGAAGTTAGATAGTTCTTCAAATTTTGAAAACTAGCTTCACACTCAGTTGTCTAGACAGAATACTGACTTCTATGTCAATCTCATCAAAGATGCAGAAATTTTAGAAAACCTTTTCACAAACTTCATGTAATATCTTGTCATATCCAATAAACTACATACTTCAAATACAGTAGTAGGCCTACACGACCCAATAATAGCCTAAATTTTCTGGGGGTCTACGAAAATACCTGCACTACTCATTACGTGCCATAAAAAAGAAATGCTCTTAAGCTAGAACTCACATTTGAAAATTTTTGCATATAACTAATGTTGCATCAGAGTCTTCAAAGTAACATTAAATGTCTAACATGATTTTTCTCAGAAATAAAATAAACCAAAATGTCATCTATGAACATAATCACAAATTGATCCAA